GAACTGAAAAAAACATGGGAAATTCAAAATATTTTATTATTTTAGAGCCGACAGTTAGTATCTACAGAACAACTGTGGTAGCAAAAACACTACCAAAACGAGACCAACAATCCAATCTAAAGCTTAAAGAAATTTATGAAAAATCTCATCTTAAAGGAAAGTTTAACACAAATTTGTTCAGAGCAAATACATTGAGTCCATAAAACAACAAAAATTTATTGGATCAATTTGTTCAACTCCAATAGCATTTCAACAGCAACCTAAGTTTATCCCGAATGACCTGTGACCTCGCTGCTTCATGTATTTGTAACTACAAAATGGTCTATCAGACTAAACATTACTGCACTTCAGGCTAATAAATTCTAATGATAAACATCTTATTAAATACAAAACAGTCCAGTTTCCTTTTATTAAACCCACCAAGATGCCTTAGATGACTAAGAACCTCATCCAGCATGTTGTCTTTTTCCCTGTTTATTCAAATATACAAACACATATTTTAGAAGGATTTTTAATCAGGGATGATCTCATTGAGAGCTCACTTAGGTTCATTTTAACTCGTCACGTCTTATCRTTTTAACATTGAATCCCTAAAACTGGTCACGTACCACTGTCTAGTGTTGCCAACAGCCATGTTATTTTTAAGTCAACATGGTGCTTAAGTTGGGCCACTCAGTTGGTGGAGCTGTTGCCTCCCAGTAAAAAGGCTGCCTGATTGAATCCAGGCCAGGAACCTTTCTAGGTAAAGTTTGCATGGTCTCTTCGTGCATGCGTGGGTTTTCTCTGGGTGCTCCTGTTTCTTCCCACAGACAAAAAAAAAAAAAAAAAAAAAAAAAAAAAAAAAAAAAAAGGAATGATAGGCTAATGGGTAAATTGTCTGTAGGTGTGAGTGAGAAAGTGAATGCTTGTTTCTCTATGTGGCCCCGTGATGGACTTGCGACCTGTTCAGGGTGTACCCCGCCCTTTGCACTGACTGCTGGATATGGGCACCAGTGATATGGACCTGTGACCTTGAAAGGAAGAAGTGGGCTAAAATACAGGATGGATGGTGCTTAAGTCAAAAGTCTATTTACTAATTATAAAAGACACTTCATTTACATGTCATCATTTATTTTTGAGAAAAATGATGCCTGGGGGTTTCTGAGTAAGGATTAAATGATCCCATTATTCTGATGATCAGGTCTTTGTTAGATGTTTGCTTACACACCCTTCAAATGAAGCTGTACTTTATATGTCATTGTCTGATGCATCCGTGTTGTTTGCTTTCCTCGCCCTTTGCAGGCAGTGGGATGGTCCATCCTCCTGTTCCTGATCATACTGGGAGCAATGGGACGCCTCATCAAGCCCTGCTTTGACGACCACGCCAGCTTCCTGCAGACGCGCTACTGGAGCAACTACCTCGACGTGGAGCAGAAGCTTTTTGACGAAACCTGCGTCTTGCACGCTCGCGACTTTGCCAGAAAATGTGTGGTGCAGTTCTTCGAGGACATGAGGGAGGACGCCGTACTCCGTCTCCCGCACCCACCTTTCGTTTGCAGCAGTAGAGAGGGGTGGGAGGACGAAGAGGACAGACTTCACGGAGTAACAAAGGAGGATCAGATGAACCAGCTGCTCAATAAGTGGTACTACAGTAAACCTGAGCTGGATGTGACTAGGATTGCCCACAGACCAAAGACCTGTGTCACCTGGGAGGACCTGGACGGGAAGACTTTATACTCTGATGTGTAGAATAGACTCAGCAGTGAGAATTACTTCTCCTTTTGTTGATCATAATAAATGTAGGTTACCTTAGGTTAGAAGTGACGCTGCATTTGATTTGTCTTGGACATCAGAACTCTTTCCTTGGATTGATAAACATTTCATTATGGCTGAAAGGAGGTAAYTCTAGTAGGGTTTGCTCTTACTGCAGTGCACGTCATTGGTAGTACTAAAATTTAAACACAATATCAATRTATTTGCTATACCAGCTTCATGAATTTATTGTGTTTCAGACTGACAGAAAGTCTTTTAAACAACTTATACTTTAATTGTCTTTTATTGAGACAGTCATATTGAATTTTGGATTTGGAACTGACTAAATATTTTTATTGATAAAAAATGATAATTGAAATTTGATTTTATTCTCATAGGAGCTTGGAAATTCTGATTTGCTGTGGTTAAAGTAGTAAATYGAGTAATTTCAAGAAGTCAACCCATGAGGGTTTTTTTTTAAGGATAATGCTGATTTTTAGAAGTCAGGGCAGCTGATGGCCAGTGTAACACTAATATATGACAATTTTTTGGCAGGGGATGGGTCAGCATTTATTTTTCATTTAACAAATTATAACAATAATTGTTTATTTTAAGAACTTTTAGAAGAACTTGCATGCTTAAAAATGATGTAGAAATGTTTTCTTGCAAACCCCACCCCCCACCAAAAAAACCCCCCACTAAATTGTGGGCTACAGTAAGCTTGTTGTCGCAGCTGCCACTGCGTCTTTATTTCTATTTTTGGTAATTACTTAATTATGAACAGGCAGAATCGATTTCATTCCTTTAAAAGACTAAAAARTTTGATTTTGTTATTATGAGAGTAAATTACTATAAATACAGGCCAAAAACGCAAAAGCAAAGCAGGAAATTGCTTTACTGTAAGTAATTTTGAAAAATCCTAAAATTGGACTGAATCTGTTAGAAATAACTTGTTGTGATTGAAATTAATGCTTTTTTTCTTTTTCTTGAGCTCATAAAAATATATGCAAACTATTAATGGATAGCAGCATTTGTAGCACGTTTCTAGTCTGATCACTGAAAACATATGCAAAAAACTGTTGCACACACACACAACTAACATGAAAATACTGTCAATTTATCAATTAACAGATGGCCGCACCTTCAACTGAGCCACAGCTGTAGATCTGCATGGATTCTGCTTCTGAATTATTGCGAAGTCTTTGAACAAGAGCAAACATATTAATCCACGCTAAACAAAGGCCAAAGCAAAATTGATTGCTTCTGCCACAAGCTCAATAAAATCACCACTGCAGGTGTATCACGCTAATTGTCAGACTCATATCATATATCCTTCAGTGTAATAAGCTTTGGGACACTGCTATTGTTGTGGGTATTTTACCTCATAATTAAACAGAGGACTCAAGGACTGGCAGCTGAAAATAATTTATCATTCATAATGATGGGTTTACATAATTTGAACAGCTTTACCTGGTACCCTGGGTGGCAGCACTGGGATAGGGGTCTCTTAGTAAGTTGGGTCTAATCAGGGTGAGAGATGGACTATGTCAGAGCTACCATGCATCCCAGATTCTATTCATAACATTTAAGGACAAAATTTTGACAAACAAAATTGGTGCAGATTCTGCAGTATATTGTACTTTACACTGGTCCGTTGTGGTAAAGCTCACTGTTTCAAGGAGATCATGGATACAGGTAGTTTAAATGTGTTTTCTCCACAGGGTAGTTAGGCTCTCCCTTAGAGTTAGGGTAAAAATGATGGTTAACTGGAAGAGATGTGGAGTACAACCACTGCTGCTCCACATCAAGAGGAGCTATTACGGTGGTTCAAGAGGTGTTTCAAACATGTTCAACTGGTAGGATACCCAAAGGGACATCCAGGTCACTCTGGAAGGACTATGTCTCTCATTTGGCCTGGGCAGTCCTTGAAATTTTCCCAGAGGAGCTTATAAGAGGTGGCTGTGGTCTGGATCACCATGCTCTAGCTGCTGCCTGACCCCAAAACAAGTGGCAGACATTGGATGAATGGTTAAGTGGATGGATGGAACCCAGTGAAATACTACCCTGAAAACTTTGWCTTCATTAATACCATGCATCCATCCAACCATCCATCTATTTATCCATTTTCTTTACCCACTTTTCAGTCAATGCAAGAGGCAGGACATGACTTGGACAGGTTAAGAGTTCATAACAGGAACAAAAAAACTACAAATCACACTCACACCTAGGGATGTTTGTTGTACTCTAGGGTAGCTCTGCCATGCTGGCATCAAGTATATCAAACACATGGGAAGGAAACAAAATCACTATAGTTTGAAAAAAAAAAACACAGTTTCAATCTTTTGTTTTTGTAGCTGAAGACTTTTATACTGAATGCTGGAGACCCATAGTTGAAGCAACAATAGAAAAAGTGACATCCTGTGCCTACGAGTTCTTTAGTGTTGGAAAGGTCATTTGAATATGTATTCAGGTGTGGACTGGTTGGTTTTGCATGTTTTTTTTTTTTTTGCACGCACCCAGACCGATGAACAAATGCAAATACATTAGGAACCAAACTAACTTTAAAGATATAGCACAAACATTCTGTTTTCTACTTCATTTAACATACTGTAGTTTGCTGTAAAGGCAGCTAAATAATTTAACAACAATATTTAAATATTATTTATTTAAATAAATGACATGAAATCTGAAAAGCAGTAGTCGGTTCAAAAAATTCTAAAAGAAAATGGCCACAAATCCAATACATTTTTGTTTCTGTTGACCTGGTTTTCAGCAACAGCAAACTCTTTTCAGTAAGTCACCTGCACTAACTGGACAGTAAAAAATGTCATTTGCAGTGTGTGACAGTTGTAAGTCAGTGAGAGACTGGCTGAAGTGTGGACAGAATGAAGGTGAAACAATTCTTTTAACTCTCACAATAACAATGTGTAAAGTTTGTTTTCAGATATTTTACTGAATGCCACAAAAGTAAGGGTTGTTATTCAAAAGAAATTCAAAGAATCATTTATATCGTTTGAATCAATTCACTTATGGAGATTCACTTTATTCACTGTTCAGTTGAAAAATTCTACCTTGGAATATTTCTGTAACAATTTACACTCAAATTCTTTGCAGCATTAATCTGTCATTATTGTCAGGGCTTGACCACATATTTTTTTTATTTTGTCCACTGCAGAGAAAACTATGTAAAGAATCCTGAGAGTTCTCTCCTCAGCTCAACACAGATTCAACACTGCAAACAAGAAGTGGATTTGCTCGTCTCAGTCTATTAAAGTGCACTGATTTTTTT